TTGAAGTTGACATGTATGATCCGAAATGTTACTGCATTGAATAAAACTTTAAAAACTAATACTGTTGTACATGCCTTATGATAGTCAAGGGTGTCACCGGAACAGCAAATGGATGCAGTGTACTTTTTTGCGTTTAGTTAGCCACGTCAAATCTATGAACCAATTAAGATAAAGCATTTTTCGACTGATTGATTGATTGTGATATGTGGTATTTAATCGTCCTGCATATGCATGAGATATTTGTCACTGGACATTAAGCAAACATCAATTAATCAATCAAATATTTCAAGCAAAATAGTATGAGAAAAATTAAGCAGCAAATCAATTAGCCAGGTTCTGCAAAGTGGTTCGACTGGGATGCAGAACAGGGAATTTAGAATGTCAAGAGGGACAAATTTTGCGTGCAACACGCCACCTGCTAATAGGCACATAGGTTTATTAAGATATAGGAGTAACAGAAACTTGTTCATTGACGACATATGATTCTTCAAATTTGACCCCCCGCCCCCCCCCCCCCCCGCACCCCCCCCAAAAAAAAAAGTTTTTGTATATAACTGAATGTATAATTTGTGTAATGAAACACTTGTTCATAGAAGAAAATCACCATCTTCAAATTATTACATACCAACAGTTATATTCTAATTCGCCAGCTCAAACGAATATAAATTATTAAATAAATAAAACAACACATAAATAGGATAAGTGTGCCTACAGGTGTAGCAGCCTTTAATATTATTTACATTCACAATTCTTCAAACTAAAGTCCTTCACTATAATTCAGACAAGCACACTACCAATCCAATCATATAATAGAATATATACAGTAACACAATCAAAAACTATCTACAAAAGAGGAAAAATTCATATTAATATAGTGTAATATTTGTATATGCCCACGTTAGAAATAACCAACTCATAAAAGGGGTGGGTGGGTGGGTAAACATATAACGAACTTGCTGCTACGTTAACTATAGGCAAACTTCGAATAACTTTATTTTCTCAAACGAACCCCTTAAGTAATACTTAATCATGCTTTTCACGAATCTCATGAGCGTATATACCCGTAAAACCGCATTGCGGGTATATGCCATCCAATCAAATAGAACATAAACACACACCATGTGCTTGATGTAAACACACACACGTGTTTATAGTAAACAATCACTTGACCGTAACTACGTCATGTGACCAATACCTTTAATAAATATATTTACTGTAAGTTCCTATTCCTTGCTTAATGGTTTGCTAATATTCTATTGACTTGAATGAGTTATAGAATTGGGAACACGTCACGGACAAGATAAGAAATAGTATATAAGGATGATCAGAATCTGGAGTGAATTAAATAACAGTATGGGTATTCCAATACATTGCAATAAGATCACCCATTGTTGGTTATGTGGTGAAGGTCAAAATTTATACATTTATAACGCAATCCCTTTGTTTAATCTACATTGTACACGATTGAATTTATTTACATTATTTCTTATGGCTTTTTATAGAATAAGTTATCTCCATAGTATGTCAAATACGATACAAATAGCTCTATAAAAATAAGGAGATGTTTTATGACTGCCAATGAGACAACTATCCAACAAAGATCAAATGGAGTGTATGTTCACTGACGCGTGCGTTTACTCGATGCTGACTTATATTTAACAATTAGATATGTATTTGTCTATCAATTTTTGAATGAAATTCTGCATTTTGAAGGGTTTACTCGGCTATCAAGTTACTGTTTGATTTAATTTTCCAGTGCATATGCGCAGTTCCGTTAAACGTTCTCATTACCTAGTTAACCATATCGAAATCGAACCTAAAGTTAATTAGCAGCCATTGTTTTCGATCAACACTCACCGAATGAAATATCTTGTTGTCGATTGTAAGAGTCCTACAAAAATGCTAAAAACATGCACAGGGGACTTAATTTTGAATATATAATAGAAAAACAAATGCATTCATTGGTTCAAAAATTTCTTGAACATTGTAATCAACAGAAACTCTTTTCATATGGATCTAAATGTAAAGCACAAAAATGTCGTCATTCACCTCAAAAGCCATCCAAAGATTTAAACATACTTATTCACAAGGAATATAGTTACGATACTGTTGTCAAGTAATTAAAGATAGCATTTTATGTTTAAATTAATATTGATCCACTCATAGGGTCTTTGCATCGAAAATAAAAGCATTTATTCTAAAACCACTTATTGGCATGATACGGATTATGTTCGTCTCGTATAACTTACGATTGCATGATACTAAACGACTTACGGGAGGGAGTGTGCTTAATTTTCACATGATGAAGACATAACCATTCGATCACTTTAATTGAGGAGCTGGAATGTCAGTAACTGCTAGGTCTCCTTTGCTAATTTATGTATCATTGTCATTTGGTTAGTTTCTTCTGTTACCTATTCTAACATCGGACTCGGACTTCTTTAAAAAAAGTTTTACTGTGCGTATTGATGTGTGTTTGTTTGTGATGTTTTCTGTTCTTGGTCGTGTTGTTGTCTCTATGACACATTCCCCGTCTCCATTATCTTTTCTTAGTATAATCGTTAGATTACCATTATGACAGTTAATCCCACTTGAGTGTTTGTTATGTTATTGTGAAATTAAATAAATAAAAATAACTTCGATGTTCGTATTCCATTTTTTATATTTTAATTATTTTTTACGAAAAAGAAATGAAGTATGATTGCAACGATAAAGCCGTCTACTAAAGACACAATGACAAGTATGTGAACAAGTACAGGTTATAAGGCCTCTACAATGAGCAAAACCAATGCCGTATATAGAGCTATAAAAATAAAATTAAGAATGGAAATGGGGAATGTGTCAAAGAGACAACAACCCGACCAAAGTGCAGAATACAGACGAAGCCCACCAGTGGGTCTTCAACACAGCGAGAAAATCCCGCACCCGGAGGCCTGCTTCAGCTGGCCCCTAAACAAAAATGTGTACTAGTTCAGTTAGGACGTCATACTAAAGTCCAACACATGTAAATGAACTAAAATTAAAAATCATACAAGACTAACAAAGGCCAGATGCTCCTGACTTGGGACATGCGCAAAAATGCGGCGGGATTAAACATGTTTTGTGAGATCTCAACATACACCCCCCCCCCCCCCCCATCCACCCTTAATACCTCTAGCCAATGTAGAAAAAACAAACACACAGCAATACGCATAGTAAAACTTAGTTTAAAAGAATTCCGAGTCCGATGGCAGAATAGGTAACAAAAGAAACTAAGCAAAATGACAATGATACATAAAAAGGACTACTAGCAGGCGCGTAGCAACCCGTACGCAAAAACGCAGTTGCGTACATTTCGAAACTTTTACAAAAATAAAAATATGGTAAATCTAGTAAGAATAAAACTAAAGTAATAAATTAAATTAAAAACTATTATATAAACATGTTAATAATCACTTTGTAGCTATATTCCGTTCCAAAAGTACTTTTCATTTACGGAACCAGCATCATGATTATGTTGCTGATGCAAACAATTAAAATGGTCCTCGAGGTGTCCTGCAGAAGACAATTATACGCCTTCTTTCCAAATCCTGACATCTTTTCTGAAGATTTCAAAATAACTGACGAATTAAAATATGACGTTCTAAAGAGACCATGGACAACGATTCATTCTCATGATTTTACTCTGGGGTATGGATAGTCTTAATTACATACCGGTCGTCATAACAGATTGTGTAATCAGCCTAGTCAGACTTCAGTTTAATGGGGGTGGTAAAGGGTAATTTTCGTGCATCGTGTTTGCCGTTTTTTTTTTTAACTGACGATCAACGTATTTTAACTTTTTTTTATTTTTACGTTCGGTTATGCAAGACGGGTGCCTCGTTCAAAGTGTTCCCCAACTTAATTATACGTGCTTCGAGATTAAAAGTGCTTATTTCCATGCTTCGAGATTTAAAGTGCTTGCTTTCCGTGCTAGGTAATATTAAAAACTGTCGTTTTGTAAGTTAATAAAAAGAAATCAGAAATAATTTGATGATTTTCCTTATGTAGATTTCGGGACTTCAAACGTATATATTATATACTTGCCACTTAAGGTTTCCAACCTATGATATGCGTTCGTTATAGTACTTTTTTATCACGTTCATTGACGAAATTATTTCACGTTCACCGTGAAATTGTTATTCCTTCTTTGTATTCAACGTTCTTTCCGTGCAAATACCACCCTTTTAACCTAGACTCTCTTAACTAACTAGTAACGAATATTATTTTTAATTTAATTTAATCAAGTTCAACCCACTACACATTAGAAAATCCAAATTCCTAAGCCAACAGTACTTGTTTGTTTTTCTCTAATTAATATTTAAAAAAAAAAAATTTTCAAAGTTGACTTGTTTCTCATGAAATTAAAATTTTCGTAAGGTCATTTTAAGTCCCAGAAAATTGCGAGAATGCAGGATTTTGTACCATTTCCCTCAGAGCTTCTGGGGGCTTTAACGGGCCCCAGACCCCTGCCGTTTGACTTTCTCCTCCGGCATTGAGTACACATCATATCGGCCTAGCTACGCCCCTGACTAGCAGTTACTGATATGCCAGCTTCAGGCCTCGATTAAACTGATTGAAAGATTATGTCTTCATCATATGAAAATCAAGCACAATCCCTCCCATTAGGGAAGACTTGTTCATATTTTGTGAAATTATAGATAGTAATTTTCTTTAATAATGTTAGGATACTGAGTTTAGACGAAAAGCGCGTCTGGCGTACACAAATTTAATCCTGGTATCTATGAGGAGTTTATTGACCTGAGACAATATGGAAAATATACAAAATGAAAGTAAATAACTAAATTCAGGATGACCATGACAAGAGTGGATAAAGGCATTTGTTAGGTTAACGTCAAATAGCCAATTTACCTGTATGTCATTACTGAGCGCTCACCTTCAGTTTACATTTATCGCATACAATATCAATTTATTATGTATATAGAAACAAGCCCTAACATTGTATAGAATGTTAAATTATAAATCCAGGTTTAAAAACAGGGTCGATGTCGAATTTAAAACTGCATTGTGAGTGTACATGTATGATATTCAATCAATAAAATTTCGAAAAGAAATCAAATATGGCTAACTTTAATGGCACGTGGTTTCATGATGGCAGCAAGGATGGATGGGAGAGATACGACGAGTTCATGGATCTCATGGGTAGGTCTCTCTATACTATTAACATAATAATCATATTATTATTTACCATCTTTTTTTAACATACTAAATAAATACAAAGTTTAAAAGGTCTAAGTAAAATCAAGGTAATTGAAAGTATTATGGAATGGTCTATTTTTAACATACTGATAATCTTACAAATGCACGAAAAAAAAAAAAGATAATAATACGTATAATTTTTTTCTAATTCTTGGAGTTTAACTTCGATAATTCTTCAGTATTTTCTTTGTAATAGATCGGTCACTTATAGTACTGATCCCTACATTGTTCTAATCTTAGTCAATGACGTTTATACAGGTGTTCAAAATTAAATCACACGTCTATATATGCATTCAATCAGTTTAAACGGTAGATAAAATATGTGATTGAAATTTAGCAGTTATAATAATCTTTTTCTTCGTTGACATTTCATTAATTGTGTTTTGGTGGGTGTATTTTTTTTTCTGATTTATTATGTTTTTTGTGGGAGGGTGTGTATTTATTCATCTAATTGAATTTTTGCTGTTTGTGACATTAAAATGAATAAATCTATTGTCCCGTTTAGTTTTCTAATAGTACTAAAAATTTAGAGTTTGGTATTTCTTACTTATATTTCACTGTACAACAAAGACTGTAATCGCTAAGTATAGCATTGTAAGATACGCTCAGTTAGTGGTTTTATCATGATTGTCAATTATTACCAGAATCCGTAGGTCCAAACAAAAATTGCGGATACATGGACGCTGTAGATAGGTGAATAGAGGAAGAGAAAAGAAGAGAAAAGAACAAGGTGGTATTTGAGGAGGAATTCGACCCATTTTTCCATGTTTAAGATTTAAATATGTTTCATTGAAAACGTTCAACAAAGTCGGACATGAATTAAGTTTTTGACTTTTTTTTTAATTTGTTTTTATATGAATAGTATATAATATGCTAGTTGGGGAATTTCCAAGTTTTGACCTTTGACCGTAATATGCGAAAGTTCATTCAATCACACTTGAAGTTTCTCGGTTTGCACTAATTCTTTATTTTCGTTGTTACACATATTTTTAAGATGAATCTTATACTGATTCGAATGATTCGCTTTGTGGAATATTACTATGAAAGCTTATTGTGTAAACACACCTTTTAGAAATTCCTACAAGTTGAATTATAGTAACACTGAAATGAGGCAGCTGCTACATGTACCTACTGAGCTCCCGAAAGTAATCGATGCATGTTTGTTTTAATATTTATCTCCACACTTTTCGGTCATCAGATAAACCAATTTCCGGGAAATCGTACGGCCATCGGAATACCAATTGACGGGAAATCGTATGCCAATCAGGATACCAATTTACTGGAAATCGTATGCCCATTAGGATACCTTTTTACTGGAAAACGTATGCCCATCAGGGTACCAATTTACGGGAAATCATATGCCCAACAGAATACCAATTAACGGGAAATCGTATACCCATTAGAATACCAATTTATGGGAAATCGAATGCCCATCATGTTACCAATTTACGGGAAATTGGATGTTTCTTCATCATGTTTTTGGAAGAAAAAAATATAAAAGAAAACGAAAACCGGATTTTATTGCCTGTCATGTTGTCGCCGACACGTTTTTGAAGACGTCACACCGCGTTAGTGCACTGGTAAAGAAACAAAAATATATCGACCCTTCTATCCTTTATGCAATCTTCGGAAGCATTTGTAGATTTAAAGTGTTGACCTGAATTCTTTTAATGTCTGTGTTGGTTATAAAGCTCCTAACTTATTCAGGATTTTATATACATTCTTGGTTTTCAGTTTTCTTGGTTTGAGCGGTCCTGATTGAAGTAAATTCAGAAAAGCCCTCTGGACGCACCAATTTATAAAGTGTTTTTCTTATTTTAAAGGAAACACCTTAGTCTATTCTTAGGTTATACGTAACACATATTAGTTTATGTTCCTTTCACATGACTGCTTTGATGAAACTGACTCTTAAAAACTTATTTCTGATTTAAACTGTTATCTCCTAAAATCAAGGTGTTAAACTACCTCCACCCTCTCCTTAGATAGAAGTTTTCTCAGATAAGTTTTGTTCTGTTTAAAGGATTGAAAGAAGCAAAAGAAAGTTATAGGGACGCCTGCACAACAAGCAAATTTGATGTCAAAGGAAATGTTTGGACTATTACCCACTCCAATTCAAACTTAGAAGGGGAAAAGACACATGTTATTGAAGTAGGAAAGGAATTCGCTGATAAAAACCTGGACGGCTCCGATATCAAGGTAAATACAGAAGCGGCAACCATTCATTTTTAGTCTTGTGGCATATCTATAGTTACTTTTATTTTATTTTCCGCTTCACCCACGGGTACAAATAGATATGAAAAAGACTATATTTGCTATAGAAACTCCAGAAATTATTTGAATTAGAACATAATGTAGAAGGTGTTTAATTCCATTAGCACTGATGATTGAGGGAATGATGATGATTGTGATTTTTTTTAATTTCTTGAGGTATTCTTTGATCACATCTGCACCATTTTTCTGATTTCACCAGTTTCAAAGACTTCTTTTTCTGTGTGTATACCATTACCAGCAAGTTTGACGGTAAAATAGAAATTGTTTCTCTTGCCTTCGATAACATAATTTTGAGTGGGAAAATTGACGTTTTTTTTCGCGTAATTTTGGAAAATTAGGTGACACATGTGTAAACTTTTATTGCTGTTCTTTCAATTAAATGTTTTGAACTTATTATTTCCGACGCCGATTGAAGATAAATCATGTTAAAGATTAAAATGTTTCCAGCTGTAATCCATAAGAGCGAGATTAAGTGAACCTTTTTTATTTGAAACCTTCCTGCAATTGAAAGAATATATTTCCGGATGATGCCTTTCTCTATTGTTTAGAATACGTTTTTTTATTAGAATGAAAACATGCCATGCATACAATACTATATAAAAATAAGAAGATGTGGTATAATTGCCAATGAGACAACTCTCCACAAGAGACCAAAATGACACAGAACTTAACAACTATAGGTCACCGTACGGCCTTCAGCAAAGAGTAAAACCCATACCGCAAAGTCAGCTATAAAAGGCCCCGATATGACATAGAAGGGAGCAGGGATAAAATACAGCAAAAGAAATAGAACATATATATAATGGAATATGTAGACAGCTCTCTCACAAGCAAAAAAACATAACTGGAAAATATAAGGGAATATACTATAGGCACGGGGACACATTCTACTGCATCCACACAGCACGAGTAACTAACCCTGATGTAAATATAAAAATAAGAAGATGTGGTATGATTGCCGATGAGACAACTCTCCACAAAAGACCAAAATGACACATAAATTAACAAATATATGTCCCCATACGGCCTTCAGCAATGAGTAAACCCCAATCCGCATAGTATGACCATTTTGGCATCCACAATTACATTGAACAGACACAATCCAATTTGAAACCTACGCTGGGTTCGTTAAAAAAAGATAGTATAATGAAAATGGTTTCCCTTCCGTTCGTTTTTTATTTGTCTTCGTCTAATTTTTGGTGTTGTAATGACCAAGCAATTACTTTATAAATAGTCATTTTGCCGCGTTATTCTTTGTTTTATTAGGTTGTTTTAGAAGTTAAAAACGACTCCGAGGTACACGAAAATGAACAAAGTAATATGGAAGACGGTGACTGGAGAAGTTATAAAATAGTCCGTCAAATAACGGGTGATAGTATGACTGTAGTAAGTAAATCAACTATTTAAATAAACAATACATTGTATGTTAATTCATTTTACATAGTTTAAAAAATTGGTGTTCGTACCTTTTCAAGAGAGAGGCGAGAGATACCAAAGGGACATTCAAACTCATAAGTCGAAAATAAACTGACAACGCTATGGCTAAAAAAATAAACTGACAACGCTATGGCTAAAAAAGAAAAAGACAAACAGACAAACAATAATACACATATCACGACATAGAAAACTAAAGACTGAGCATCACGAACCCCACCAAAAAAATTGGGGGTGATCTAAGGTGCTCCGGAAGGGTAAGAAGATCCTGCTCCACATGTGGCACCCGTTGTATTGCTCATGTTAGTACAAACCAGTTAATAAGTCTCATTTGGTAAGTCACATTTGGGGAAAAGGGGACGGGATTATAGGTACGAAATTTTGGAACATATCAGCTATCATCTGTGAAACGGACATTCCATAACGGTCAACCAACTCGTTATGGCGTCCGTAAAATTTACGAAGGGATTATTTATCAAACGACAAGGTGTTTTGGTTTGGTTGTCTGCAACATAATTGTATCGTCTGTTATTTGCTGAAAGTCGGTCATTGACAATGCTTTTTCGATATCATTCGTCAGTAAAAATCATGTGATGGCACAGATTGGTCGAATGCAATCACACAAACAAGTAACATTTAAGTTACAAAGAAATTTGAAAATAGAGCATTCGTAATATACATCTTACAGCTAAATGATTTGTTTAATATAAGTTTTTGTTTTCATTCATTTTGCTTTGGTCTTTGTTTCTTTCTATTTGTTAATTTTCAAATCTTTAATTTGACATTCATTTATATCTATTGTACGCTTTGTGTAAAAGTTCTTTGTGTAAAATATTCATAACATATTTTGCAGACTATACATTCAAAGGGTAAATCTATGGCATACAAGATGAAAAGAGTGAAATAAAATCAGACTTGGAATTGATACAGTGAAGAACCGCCATTACAATGAAGTGTATTTCGAACTCCTCAACGTTTATTGATATGATGAAATCTTACCTACAATGCAATGGCTTAAAAGAGTTCAATTAAACATGTAGAAAGACAATCAAACGAGTATAAAATAAAAGTAATTTAGGTTGCCGGTGATAGATTGATAAATTATTAAAAAAAGAACCAAGGTTCCCACTCCTTCGTGTAATTCTTTTTTGCAATACATCCAATACCCCTATTTGTTTATTAAAAAAAACCTTGACTTATGATTTCTAACTAATTTTTGCGTCTTTCATGTGCAAACTCAATATGAAGGTATATAAATCTTAAATAACGCAACATTTTTTCTCTCTCTTTAATAACTATTAAATGGTGGACAATAACTTGCAGCAAAATTGTCAGTAAGTCGTTCTGAAAGAAAATCTTTGGGCCACTAATTAAAAACAATGATAAGGATATGAACCACACAAGCGTTGTTATGAAGTACATCTCATTGAAAAAACAAGGTACTACGACACCAGAGTTAGGACGGTTGGTTGTTGTGAAAATGCAAACTTCATACCTTTTTTTCATGATTTCATTTTTAATTACATACATGTATAAAGATGATATTATTGGGATATTCTATGCATTCAGATATGTGAGTGTACGTCAATAAGCCATCATTGGGATATTCTATGCATTCAGATATGTGTGTAGACGTCAATAAGACATCATTGGGATATTCTATGCATTCAGACATGTTAGTATACGTCAATAAGTCATCATTGGGATATTCTATGCATTCAGAGATGTGAGTAGACGTCAATAAGACATCATTGGGATATTCTTGCATTCAGATATGCGAGTATACGTCAATAAGTCATCATTGGGATATTCTATGCATTCAGATATGTAAGTAGACGTCAATAAGACATCATTGGGATATTCTATGCATTCAAACATGCGAGTATACGTCAATAAGTCATCATTGGGATATTCTATGCATTCAGATATGTGAGTAGACGTCAATAAGACATCATTGGGACATTCTATGCATTCAGATATGTTAGTATACGTCAATAAGTCATCATTGGGATATTCTATGCATTCAGATATGTGAGTAGACGTCAATAAGACATCATTGGGATGTTCTTGCATTCAGATATGCGAGTATACGTCAATAAGTCATCATTGGGATATTCTATGCATTCAGATATGTGAGTAGACGTCAATAAGACATCATTGGGATATTCTATGCATTCAGATATGCGAGTATACGTCAATAAGTAATCATTGGGATATTCTATGCATTCAGATATGTGAGTAGACGTCAATAAGTCATCATTGGGATATTCTATGCATTCAGATATGTGAGTATACGTCAATAAGTCATCATTGGGATATTCTATGCATTCAGATATGCGAGTATACGTCAATACGTCATCATTGGGATATTCTATCCATTAAGATATGTAAGTATACGTCAATAAGACATCATTGGGATATTCTATCATGCATTAAGATATGTGAACAGACGTCATTAAGTCATCATTGGGATATTCAATGCATTAATATATGTGAATAAACGTCATTATGACATCATCGTGATATTCTATGCAGTTAGATATGTGAGTAGACGTCAATAAGACAACAACCCAACCATATCTGCTTTGTATCGATCCGATGAATTAAGCCTTTTTCAACTGATTTTTATAGTTTGTTCTTATGTTGTACTGTTACATCATTGCCCGAGGTTAGGGGAGGGTGGAGCGCTTACAAACATGTTCAACCCCGCCACAATATTCATGTGCCTGTCAGGAGCCTGTAGCTCAGTGGTTGTCGTTGGTTCATGTCTGTCATACTTGTTTTTCGTAAATTGTTTTGTTATAAATTAGTTAGTTATTTTTTTCAATTAAATTGTTTCATGTCGGGTCCTTATATAGCCGACTATACACGGTATGGGTTTTTTTCTAATTGTTGAAGGCTAAAATTGCTTACATCCACTTCATTTGAACTTTGGTGGATAGTTGTCTCATTGGCAATCATACCACATCTCTTTATTTTTATAAACCAAATTAAATGTACTTGAAAACTCATTTCTTGACCAGGTATTTTTTTATTCGAATTAAACGAAATTGTAACTCAGATACAATAAAAAAGAGAGAGAAAAGATACCATGGGGGTATTATAATAAAAAGAGACAATATCATGGCAAAAAACAAAAGAAGACGAGAGGACAACACCAATAACAAAACTTCATAATGATCTTAAATCCTGGGGTAAATTCAGGTGCTCAGCAGGGTACATTTGTAAGTAGTCTTTCTTTACATGTAGCACCCTCCATGTTGCATATGTTGTAAAATTCCGGTAAAAAGTCGCTTTTGGTAATTGCACAAACAAAAAAGATAAGGACAGGATTATGGTAACGAAAAGCCATTCAGTGAAGTGCAAATCCGTAGTCATATTTGAAACAGTTATTCCGTAAAGGATATAAGCCGATAACAGTCCGTTCTGTAAAATATTTTACAGAATGGACTGTTAGAGGCTTATATCTTACTTGAAACATTGTTTAACACGTTAAAAAGGTGAAAAAAATGCAGGAAAATACAAACTTTTGGTAAGATTTATTTTCATCAAGTGTGAAAATTGTTTTGTGAATAAATTTTCTTTACATTAAGATTTATGCTACATGTTGGCCCCTTTAAACAGTAGCTCAACTTAAACAATAGACAAAAAGAAAGTACAGCTGAAGGTAAACAACATGTATTGCTACATGAAGATAAAGACACGGCGTATGCGTATCATGATTTTTGCGTGAGCAAGGACTACTCTAAATAATTTCCTTGAATACCTTTACATGCGTTTTGGGTTTCAAAATGGATAAAGACGATGAAAGTACATTCTTAATGCAAAAAACGAAGAGAGTGATGTCGTTATCAGTAAATGTGTTGTTTCAAACTTTGGATTACAATCAAATTAATTGAATATTCAGATATATTCGATGTCAGTGTGGATTACAAAGAGGATACAGTTATAGCAGCTAATAATGGCAAGTTTTATATTTATTAAATTCAAAATGTAGTCTTTTCCTATTAGTTTCATGTTTCTTCTTGGGTTTTTATCTCTTACTAGGTGAATGAAAAAAAAAAGAAAAACGTGAATATAAAAAAGAAGATGTGGTATGATTGCCAATGAGACAACTCTCAACAAGAGACCAAATAACACAGAAATTAACAACTATAGGTCACCGTACGGCCTTCAACAATGAGCAAAGCCCATACCGCACAGTCCGCTATAAAAAGACCCGAAATGACAATGTAAAACAATTCAAACAAGAAAACTAACGGCCTAGTTTATGTTCAAAAAACGAACGAAAAACAAATATGTAACACATAAACAAACGACAACCACTGAATTACAGGCTCCTGACATGGGACAGGCACATACATACAAAATGTGGCGGGGTTAAACATGTTAGCGGGATGACGGGTTCACATTGAACCATATCGAGTGCACCGCAGTCGATTTTATTTCAAATATATAATTAATATAAACAAATGAAGAAATAAAACCGTGCAATCATTTTAAATTATTTTGTTGTTCATCGGAATTTTCAAGAGACTGTTATTGTTTACCAAAACGGTACCACCTGAATATTCCACCATTTTTTCTTCTTTTTTTTCTGCAAGGTCGTGTCGCTCTTTTTTTCGTTTATTTGTGTATTGATGTTCCTTGGTCTTTTTTGTTGGTTTTTTTTTTAATGTTGCCGAATCATAATTTTGTCTCTCGATTTCCTTTTGCTAAAAAAACTCTCTTATTTTCTTATATAACATAAAACGATCACTACGAACAAAGTGTGAATCGGACACACGATTGATTTGTTTAACAGATAACCTGTGGTAACTTCTTCCTTTATTCTGCTTCCCATATTCATTGTCGTTAATAGGCGAATTGTTGCATTATATTCATATTCAAGCAATAATATCAGACTTAAAAAAACAACAACTTGTAAATCAACGCCGAATTGAAAATTATAAATACTATTGCAGTCTTTGTACACATGGTGAGGTTAAGGTTCAGCTAAAGTCAAAGAGGTAGGGCCAATTTCCCCTGAAATTTTTTCACAGAAGGACCAATTTCAAAAAGTGCCGAAAGAATAAAATTTACGATAAAAACATGAAATAAAAATGTTTTTTGGTCAATATCTCGATTTTTATGTATTATGTTATGTCTGGAAAATAGTTAATTTAACCTCCAAAAAAGGATGAAAGTCAAATACGCTCCATCGGTAGCGCTTAAAACTGTAAATAATTGATTGTTTTAAGATGGGGTTCAAATCTCACGCTACTTTTTCTCATTTTTTATGTTGAAATATTAAAATGTTATGTTTCTATCACATTTTTTCGGATGTTTGTTTAATTCCAAGAGTCACACTAAAGTAGGTGCTTGTACATAACCAAAAAAACGAGAATTGATTATAAAAATTATAGCAATGAAGCCCAAATGTTGTGTGTGTTATACACATAACAAACAAGGCCATAGCAGAAAAATTTTAAAACAACAAAAATATTTTTTTCTAAATCTGGAACAAGAACTTTTTAGAAAATGGTATGATATGTAACAAATGCAGACAGTAGTTTTATCGCCAATCCACCAACTGTGAAGATACTAGTACTTGCATTGTTATATTGTACCACCGTCCCTACACCGGAACCTAAGTCATCAGAAAATTAAACAACACCACAGAAAAAATCAATTACACTACCAATCGTGAGTGTAGGTAAAACATCATGAAAGTGTTGACTCTGTATCACAACATAGGGTCGATCCATTTGATACAATGTCATGCAGAAAAGACCAGATTACATGTGTTCTAGTACCAACTGGTGTAAGCTGTTGTCCGGTTCATATAGACGGTAAACCTTAAAAGCTGGAACAGTGTATAGATATGGATACATCCAGATTGAGGAAAACAACATCCCAGTTAAATGAATCCGATATTTTTTGGCTTCTTGAATTAAATTAGCTGATTTATATCAGATAATTAGATTATTAAATGGTTCTTGTATTTATATTTAACCCCCTTTTTAGGCGCCACTTAGGGGCATTCAGTTTTCGGTCTGTGCGTCCGTTCGTTCGTTTGTCCGTCCGTCTGTCTCTTCGTTCATCCGTCTGCCCGTTTCAGGTAAAAGTTTTTGGTCAAGGTAGTTTTTGATGAATTGGAAGTCCAACCAACTTGAAACTTAGTACACATGATCGCTATGATATGATCTTTCTCATTTTAATGCTAAATTACAGTTTTTATCCCAATTTCATAGTTCACTGAACATAGAAAATGATAGTACGAGTGGGGCATCCGTGTACTATGGACACATTCTTGTTTAATATTTTGTTAGTTTTAAGTTAAACAAAGTTGTGAAATACAAGTACACTACAAATCACCTACCAACATTAACACGGTAACTGAAGCGCAATGTTTTTTTTAATACAAAACTAATTTTGAATATCTATTAGTTGATAATTCATATGTTAATGCTCCTCAGGGGCATTTACAAACAAAATCAATGTTGATTTTGATAAACAAAAAAAAAACCACAATAGTGAGGGGCCTGATGGGTTATTTTCGTTCTTCGTGATCGGCGCATTTTCGCTATCGTGATCCGTTATTCTACAGATTTATTTTTCGTGATTCGTGATGAAAGCATTGTTCGTGAATCGTTCTCATTGGAGTTTTATGTTCGTTCTTCGTGATTGAGACATATATTTCGTTCTCGTGATTTTTTTCCATTACGGAAATAAAGAGTTCCATTACTAACAATGTTAGAACATGCCCGGAACTTAAGCAATACGGTGTATGAGGGAATAAAAAGGTGAGTTCTGTGGGCTGCCTTCTACTTTACGCATCCCTCCTCTTATTACCCTATTCCTGAAAATGACATGCCATTGTCGTCCCTGAGTGCTATGGAGCACTTGAAACCAAAAGCCCTGCTGTCAAAAGACCAGAAACGAGAAATGCGTGAGTGGGCCCAGGACTTTGGAAAGTGTGTTCGACAAAGATCAGTACGACAGCAAACGACAATGTACAACACTGACACATTACCACTTAATATGTACAAAAATGCAACTTACAGTGCCACAAGTGAACAAATCAAATCACATTTCCTTCAATATCTGAAGAAGGTAACAAGGACTACGATCAAATTTCTGAATATGATTCAGAATCAGATGTGGACGACACTGAAGAAACGGACAATGCTATTGACACCCCAGAATGTCTTAGTTTTCTTCAAGGGACAACCAGCAGGAGTGAGAGAACAATCAATCGGCAGGCTCAGCAGTAAATTTTTTTGACAAAATAAATATATATACTATATAGTTTCTGAGTTTAGCCTCAAGATAAAACACAGACGTGGTTCCGTGGTATTTTACGCCAGTAAAACACTTCTATGAAATATTATATGATACAATACAAGAAGTCAGAATGTGACTGTTTTTAACGATTTAATTTAGAACCTGGGAGAATTCAACACGTAAACAAGTAATGAGCCAATAATGTATTTGATTGTAGCTTAATTGAACCAATCTACAACACAAACAACCAGCTTCTGAATCTCTATTATCGAGATTGATTGGGGATACTCTTTTTATATTTTCGTGATCCGTGATCATGGAAATTTATTTTCTGTGAATCGTGATTGACAAAAAAATCGTGAATCGTGATGAGTTTTCATATACTATAATTAGTATATCTATCGGGCTATCTAAAAACATGTTTTACCTAGCTAATCAAATGAAAAAAAACTCACGTAAAAATGGCCCTACCTCTTTCAGTTAAACTTAATTGTCAATTTACTAATTATTTGAGGAATAAAGATTACCATATCATATATCAAAATCTTCCTTGTGGTGTGTAGAATACGGTTCTTGCACATGTACAGAAAGTTTTATCTTGCTCTAATTGTATAGTTTTATTGTTGATATTCACCCCAAATGTACCAAGTGTTAGATTAGTTTTATTGATATTAAAGAAATTTCGTCATATTCCTAAACGGAAGATTTTATACACACAGAAGAAGAAGTATACTTACAAACAAAATTATTTTCATTTACCTGTGTGTAAAATGACGCAGGTTTCTTCAAAAGTGATGATTTTCTAAAAATTGTTTGACATTTCACAGTGATATCATACTTTAACTTTGTTTAAACCTGTTTATTTACTTTTGACTTTAATTATTTATCCCTTATAATTTTTATTAACTGTGTATTTGCATTCAGGTGTCACAGGTCAAATTTATTCGTTCATTGTGTATTAATTTACGTGATTGAGTTAAGCCTTCCAATTGATATTTTATAGTGTGTCTTTCTATGTAGTGATGTTATACTATTGTTTCAGAAAAGGGAGAAGGTTTGGTACCATTAAAACGTTTAATCCCGCTGCAAATGTTTGCACCTGTCCTAAGTCAGGAATCTGGTGTACAGTAGTTGTCTTCTGTTTATGTTGTTCATACGTGTTTCTCGTTTCTCTTTAGATTAGACCGTTGGTTTTCCCGTTTGAATGGTTTTACACTAGTATTTTTTGGGGCCCTTTATAGCTTGCTGTTCGGTGTGAGCCAATGCTCCGTGTTGAAGGCCGTACCTTAACCTATAATGGTTTACTTTTATAAATTGTAACTTGGATGGAGAGTTGTCTCATTGGCACTCATACCACATCTTCCTATATCTATATAACAAAATTAAACACTTCAGCATGTATATAAGTCTAATAAGTCATGAAGAATAGAGGCACATTTTGAAGAAATCCACAGCATTTCCATGTACACAAAATTCTGAAAAATATGATTAAAACTATAGAGGATAGGGATTTCTAGTGCAAGCATTTGTTTATTTTGAATAAAATGCAACCATAAAAGCATGTTTGGCCATTAAAACTTGTCTTTTATATAAAAAAAAAATAGTCGGCCATATTAAATTTTGATTAGGAACTACTTTTATGTGAAAAGTATGGAGGGCCATATTGTGAAAACTATTATAAATTAGTATAAAGTATTAGAAATAAAATTAATACACTATACAAACATTGATGTAAACATGTTTATTTTGATACAGATATTTCAAAAGCTTCAGTGTTTTTGAAATTTTAAATCAGCCTTTTGAAAAAAAAGGGGGGAGAGGTGATAACATATAACACACCATCTTTACAGAATCAAAATAACCTTTGTTACCATGGGCACATTATATTAATTACAGCTTTACAAACTTTTTACCTATAAAGAAAGATACAGTTGAGGGATTTTGTTATTGTCTTCATCAGTACTGCCGTATGCCCACCCTTGGTCTCTTCATGCATTTCAACATTTTAAGTTAGATTGAAGAAATAGTTCATCATATGGTTTTGTATGACCTTTTTTTATTTGCTTCAAGGTTTTGAAGCTCATGTTTTATGCTAACAGCACAAAAACAGGTTCCAAATGGCTGAAGTTATATAATTCACAGGTTTGCGTTCTATTTTTAATACATTGTATATTTACCTAGTTCTGGGCAGAGTATCTATAAGTGATGTATTGTCTCCAACATGTGCCATCAAGAAAGGATTTTTTTTTATCTCAGAATTCCAGCTTTGGTAAATTCCTGAAAGTTTCAAAGACTATTCAGCTTTGCAAACAAAAAAGTTTTAATATATATATACATAAAAACAGATATGGGTCAATGGCACAAAAACATCGCCAACTCCAAAAATGCTATACAAAAAGAAATTGAGAGTTAACCACATGAACTTCAATAGAACATATACTTTTGATCCCTTTATGTGAGCTACAAGATCACCTCTTCAACATATGGTACTTGCTTTGGGTATCTTTATACATCATTACCAAGCATAATCAACAGTCTTTATGTCAACATCATATTGAAAAGCAGGAAACATGTGACTTTGTCAGCTAAATTTTGCCAATATCAAGATTTGTTCTTTGCCTACACATATTGAAAGTAACCTTTATTATCATTTAACAAACTCTATAACTACATAGCTAATCATTGTAAAATAATGGGATCTGAAAAGATTATTAACTTACTATTTCACTGTTACCTTTTTACAATATCTATAATTGTTCACAGCCACTTCCTCTCGGACAAACAACATCATATTAAAAAGCAGGAAACAACATGTCAGCTAAAAAATAATAAATAAAAACAGTCATACCTCATGGCCATAAAGTACAAATTACACATTACAAGGTAGACACTAGTCCTTATAAAAAAAATAATATGAAATTTATATAAAGCATGAACATGATTAGCTCTCGGTTTCTTTTTGTATTGAATTTAGTTAGTTGGTGATGTCATCGTGCCATTTCCGTTCTTTTTCATACCTGTAATTCACAACAAGCTGAATGGCACAGTACCTACTACAATCATGTATGTGATGCAACATGTAGATGATTTCCTTTTGATGTTTTGAATTTGCCTATGGACATGATTGTCCAACTGTCAAGGATCATAACTCTGTAGCTGGAAATGATTACCCAAAAGTAGCATGTAGAAAGGGAAATAACTCCATGAAAGCAATATTTGTTCACATTTTAAATGGTGTTTGTGTAATTTGCAGCTTGTATTTTTTCTTTAATACAATAAAATAAGCTTTATTTCAACATACCTGAAATGTGTACAATGATCGATTTTTTTCATATTGTAATGCAGATCATTGGTCATAAACTGTAAATGAAATTCTTCGGTCAATAATAAGGTGAAAATGGTTGTGGTACAATAATAGTAGTTTGGTTACAATGTCTATCACATCATCTAAGTGTCCATCAAATGTAACACCGTTCATCATACACTAATTTCAATTTCAGTTTAAAACAGATAGGTAATTCCAAATCCATCTTACAAGGAATTATACTCAGTACAACCTTAAAAAAATATTGAAAAATATGAAATAATTGCATTGCATTAATAAAAATACATGTTGTAGTTTATTTGAAACATTCAAATTGCAATTTGATGAGACAAAATTTACATTGTATAATATACATGTATGGAAATTTTTACCATGCTATCTTCTTTTATGTATTGCCTAAATGATAGAAACAAATACCGGTATCAAATATTTAATTTCATAATATAATTGACTGGTAATTTAAAACTAGAAAAACATTATGAAAGAATGAATTAAATCTGGCTGCCAGAATTTTTTATGACCATACGTACTAAAAAAAATGAAATAAGAATGTGTCTGAAGGATACGGATGCCACCCCCCCCCCCCCCCCCCCACCCCCTGACTTACTTCAAAACTGTTCCTTGGATACTGCTAAAAGTCAAACTTGATCTGTGTTTTATGGTAATACGCATTGTCACAATTTGTGTATTATTTTCATAATATTTGGTTCAAACAAACTAAAGTTAAAGAGAAGAAACCAATTTCAGGACCTACAAAGTGTGGTACAGACAGACGGACAAAGGTAAAACATAAATCTCCCTAATCCAAACAGTGGGGCATAGTAAAAACACTTGATGTGAGCAATATGTCTTTTTTTTTAAAAGAGAACGAGAATAACATCAGGAGGATATACCCCCTCCATTATGTAATGTGCATATACAACTACAGGTATGAAGAAGCCGGAATTGCTTACCTATTTCATAATCTATCATCATGATCATTTTGCAGAAATTGACCAAAAAACAATAATATTTTAATATTTTACCTTTAGTCGGCAATGAAATATATAAGGGGTTTTGGTATAATAAAGAATTTTGTCGAGCATTTTATGCTGAAGAAAAAAGGCTACTTTATTTTAAACCATCTGTTATAATTATCCAAATATTAAAAATTCATGCGCTAGTTTTTCAAGATATATGACGAAATTTTTTATGTAAAGGGGTATCTCTAGATTTTTCATTACTTTATAATTGGCGCTTTTAGGCTTAAACAATTATACTCCCTTAAGAAAGTTTACGAATGATGTGCTACAAACAGGATGTGAAGGAAATAGCTCACCCTGATTCAATTATGGTGAGATAAAGATGTACATACCTAGTATGTATTATAAGTCACAGAATTGTAGAGAACCAGAATGATAATCTTCAACTAAATGGCCAATTTCATAAACATCATTATCTCCGTCATGCAACACTTTATAGACTGCATTCAAGTTTCCATCTGTCCCTTAAAGTAACGACACACCTGTTCCTTTATACCATTCCTTATGGTCTGCATCCTCGTCAATGTTCCACTGCTGTTTAATGCTCTGTCCAACAAATCTGGTCTGTTTCTGCCTTCCTCTCCTATATTATAAAATAACAACACACTTACAAAATAAAAATACCAAGGTACTTGGTTGTTCCATACTATCTTATAAAAAAATGTATACATGTACATTGTATGTCTAGTATTCAATATTTAGAGGCAAAACACATATCATCTAGTAAGAGAGATGTACATATATAGTGCAAGCATACTAATAACTTAAATAATACAAATGTGTTTTTCATTTTGTACATACATAGATATAGGAAGATGTGGTATGAGTGCCAATGAGACAACTCTCCATCTAAGTTACAATTTATAAAAGTAAACCATTATAGGTCAAGGTACGGCCTTCAAAGTCTTGTTCAATATTGGAGACATCACATAATCATAATAATATAACCTTGTCAGGGGCAGATTCAGACTGACAACGATAATGCTAAATATCCGTTCCATAATTCTTTTTGATGAGAAAACATATCTGCTAATTCCATTTCGCAAAATATTCCATAATTGTTTTGTTCTATATTTTGTATTGACATTACATCAAATTGGAGAAGATACGAAATTCATAATACCCATCATTACCCGACATGATTTTGGGTTTTAACTATATATATTTAAGGAATGACTGTAATATTTTTTTTGTCTATGAAGAAATAACATAAAAAATGTGGTGCACTATGAATAACCCGCGAAGCGTTTTATTCAAAAGTGTGCACCACATTTTTTATGTTATTTCGAATAGACAGAAAAAATATAAAAGTCATTCTATACAATTAAATTCTAAAAAGGCGTAAATAATGATAAAAACGTTGATGACGTCACGGTCACATGACAAAATTATGTCTATGAGCTGATAGACGAAACACTTTCATCCAATCAGAAGACGTGTTACACCCAAAATTAAATTATATATTTTTATACTAAAATGGCATAAATTAATGAATATTTATACGAATTTGGCTAAATGTACATCTTTAATGTACCACTTTCTTTAATAATGATCCTATTGGAAAATATTGAATAAAACAACAATTGTCAAATATCTTATTCTTGTCGAAGAAACCTACTGATTTTTGGTCGGGTTATTGTCTCTTTGACACATTCCCCATTTCCATTCTCAATTTTATTTTCAAGATTACAATACTATTCATTCTCATATTGTGTTCATACATACATACATGTACATGTATGTATCAAGGACTACTTTTTTAATAGATATAAGAAGATGTGGTATTAGTGCCAATGAGACAACTCTCCATCCAAGTCAAAATTTATAAAAGTAAGACCATAATTTTACTTTGTATGTCGTTTCAGTGTTTTGTCATATGGGCAATCGGACGGTGATGTGTTGTATTTGTTTACATTGGGTTTAAGAACATCAGATTACCTCTAGATGGCTTGTTATGGTCTCCACTATAGGAGCATGTAGTTTTCTTGTAACAAGTAACCACCATCTCTTATTGTCCTTTGCCACAAAGTGTTGGATGAAAATGGTAATGGATATGTCTTGTGCACACAACGCATGAAACTGCTTGATAGATTGCTTTCATATTTGGTAATGTATTGGTATAATATGTAGATGTGCATACTTCACTGACATTTTAAATCATAAAATTTTGTATGATTTATGGGACTTAGACCATTTTCATCATTTGTCCCAACGGTGGGGGATATACAGTTATGTGTAACAATCTTGTTAAGATTGTGTTCATAATGTTCAAAAAATATTACGTCAAATTGGTGTTGTTTCGTTAGTTTGAGTGTTGGCTGTTTCAGAGTCTGATAAACTGCCTGGTCTTGGATTCTGTTTTTGGTCTTTCTTCTATTTGTTGAAGCTGATGTTATCTTCCTCTTTCTTTTTATACTGGTTTTGGAATCAACGAACTGAAATTTTAAAAGTTGTATTATAAGAATCATCCATTAATATACTCACTGTTTCAGACCAGCATCGCACTTAACAATGATAATGTGAATGTAATTCGTTGTGAAAATTTAAAATAAAAGCTGTATAATGATTGTCAAATTTGGTTTGTTGCATACTGAAAAACTTTCCAACAAAATAGACACCCCCAATGAAAAAAAAAGAATGTTTCCCCATCATCCTGAGATCTGGAAAATACAGTGAACTTGTGTGTTTATACCTGTATCTAAAAACAAAATAAATATTTATTCAATAGGCAAACAAATGTGAATTTTGATGAAAAATGTTTTCTGGTAGGCCTTTTTGGGGTTAAAAACATTAGAGTTGTGAGGCGGCTATATCTCTTGGCTTTTAAACATCAACATGTATATATATATATGGAAAATAATTAAGGAGTATGGACAAATTATAGTTCCTGTATATATGTTTCACCTCTTTTCATAATATACACATTTTAATAAACATGTACTTATATTTATGTTTTCAATTATTATCGAAACTGTATTTAATTACCTACTATAATAATTAATTTGCAATTGTGAATAACTACCTGCAACTGACTTACTTATATTAACTGTCACTTATCCATTAAACACGTTCATACTCGCAAAAATGACACACATGACAGAAAATGACAGAAGCTGAGAATGGTATACAATACCTGTATAAAGATAATTGCAAGATTTTCCTTCTCAATTAAGGGACTGACAATTATATACAATACCTGTATAAAGATAATTGGAAGATTTTTCTTCTCAATAAAAAAACTGACAATTATTTACAATACCTGTATAAAGATAATTGGAAGATTTTTCTTCTCAATAAAAAAACTGACAATCATATACAATACCTTTATAAAGATGATAGAAAGATTTTCCTCTCAATAAAGATACAATACCCAGGGTCCCTGATAAGTTCAATAAATCAAATAAGTAAACAACACAATTTTAATTAGAGTTGCTTTTTGTTTGATTTCAAACTTTCTATTAAACTCACCCATATTCCAGGTTCTCGAATCCTTGGGCTCTTTCCTTCTCGTAGTGAGGCTAGTTCATGTAAAAGTGCCTTATTGAAGAAAGCTTTGAGTTTGGATAGTAGAGTGATCTCCCAAAGGTCGACATCTCGATAAATTTTCTGTATGACCATCTGATATGGATTCAGTGTATGTACAACAAAGTCTATCCATGGTTTGTCACGAACATTCAGAAGGCCATGGCATTGGAAAAAATAGGGATGATTTTCCTTCATCTTCAAATTTCCATTGATAGTTTTGAGGCAGAAATTGTTTGAATTAGCAGCTTCAAAAAGGTTAATAGGTTTTGAATGTAAAAGGTTTTTTATTTCAATAAGTCCAGTGCCGTCAGTTGATGATGTAACAATCCCATCTGGACTAGCAGCTAAAAAAATGTTGGTTGGATGAATAACAAGACCGGTTTTATTCACACAGATATTCTCATTATCTTCTGCTTTCTTCAGCTTATATTCCTCTATGGTGGTATCTTCTTGTAGAATGCCATTTCTGGTATGTCTATTTTCTTTAAATTGGGAGTACAGCAAATTACGGACAAATTTATGTATTGGTAAAGATGGGTTTTGTCTAATGATGGAACCA